AGAATGTTTACCAAACTGCTTAAGTTTGCTTTTATATCCTAATTTGAATATCAGAGTTAGGTCTTTCCCACTAAAAGGCTTAATTAAGTACAGTAGTTCTGTAGTTTTTCTGCCTAGAGGGCCTAAGTGTTGAGTCCCTTAAATCTACCAGGAATTACCTTTTTTTAAAAAATAACTTGGGGTGCCATTAAGATGCAGAGGGAGAATGGGAAATAAATGGGGGGTTTGAGTTTGGAGTTCCTCACAACCTTTCCCTCCAACTGTTGGATAAGTAAACAGTCTAAATAGATGTGATATACATCTCATCTGAGATACCTGTGAGGGCATTCCAAAACTGAATAAATACTATCTTAAATGAAATAGACATTTTCTAATAGTGAACCAAATTATTCTAAGGTATAATAAGCACTTGTGCATTTGTTTGCTTCGTAGGTCTGTGCCCTCCCTGTTGTAAACATGAATATCTTTTCTGATAAAGCTGATACTTTGCTGACTATAAAATATTCCAGATGTTTCTTTTTTCTCAATGTTTTTGCTTTTATTTTTCTGGATTGGAAATTAGCTATTTATTTTTAGTTTTTAAAGTTGACACAATTCACATACCATAAAATTTAACTATTTAAAGTGTTGAATAGTGTTTTTTACTGTATTCACAAAATCATGTAACTATCACCACTATATAGTTCCAGAACTATTTTTCTCATTCAGAAGAAACACTGTTCCTTATTTACTCTTTCTTAGCATCCATTAATTTACTTCCTATCTTATGGATTTGTCTGTTCTGAACATTTCATATAAATGTATCAGTTCATTTCCATTTTTGACTGAATAATATTCTTTGTGGATATATTATTTTGTTTATTCACTCATAAATTGATGGACATTTATTCCATGTTTTGACTAGTCTGAACATTTGTCTACATGTGTACAAATTTTGTGTTTATGTATGTTTTAAATTCTCTTGGATAGACACCTAGGAGGTTGCTGGGTAATGTACTAATTCCATTTTTTTTAAAAGAGCTGCCAAACTTTTCCAGCGCTCCAGCACGATTTTATATTACCACCAGTGGTGTTTGAAGATTCTGGTGTATCTGCCTCCTTACCAGTGCTTTGTTACTGTCTTTTTGATTTATAGCCGTCCTAGTGGCTGTAAAATAGTAGTATCTCATTATAGGTTTTATTTTATTTTTCCATTATGACTAATGGTGTCCAGCTTGTTCTCATTTGGTTTTTTTGCCATTTGTATACCTCCTTTTGTTAAATAATGTTTTGGTTTTCTTCAGGCAGGGTCTGGATATGTAGCCAGGCTGACCTTCAACTTGTAAGTTTTGTGCTTCACTCTACCCAGTGCTGGAATTAAAGGTGGCACTACCCTGCCCAACTTATGTGTTGGATTTACCATTGTTCTTAATTTTGTTTTTGTGGAACTAAGATCAAACCCAGGTCCTGGTGTATGCTAGGCAGGTGATCTCCCATACCCTTAGCCCTATGTTTTGTTTTGTTTTTTTGGGGGGGGTACTGGGGATTGAACTCGGCCTTGCACTTGTGAGGCAGGCCCAGTGCCACTGAGCTAAATCCCTGGCCCAGCCCTGATTTAAAAAAAAATATTATGTTATTCTAGAGGCAAGTTCCAAGCTGTATGGTTTGCTAATACATTTTCTTGTTTTGTGGGCTCTTTCTTTCTTTTTGTACCAGGGATTGAACTCGGGACCTTGCACTTGCGAGGCAGGTGGCAGAACCAGTGAGCTAAATCCCTGGCCCTTGTGGGTCTTTCTCGATGGTGCCCTTTGAGGCACAAATGTTTTCATTTTATTTTTTTGTTTTTGAGACAGGATCTCACTATGTACAGTAGTTCAGGCTGGCCTTGCACTCATTGTGTAGTCCAAGCTGGCCTTGAACTCACGGTGATCCTCCTGCCTCAGACTCCCAAGTGCTGGGATTATAGGCATGGATCACCACACCTGGCACAAATGTTTTTATTTTAATGATATTCAGTTAGTCTTTCTTTTCCTTGTGTTTGCTTGTGCATTTGTTTTGAAGACTTAAGAATCTAGTGCTATGAAGAAAGCTACTCACCTCAAGGTAGCCACAGGAAGCAGAGATAGAAGGGAGGAGCTGGGGGTGGGGAGCAGTGCCCTTCCAGGTCTTAACCCCTATTGAGATGCCTCCAACAAGATCCCATCTGCTAATAGCAAGTCAACTATATTGCCACCATAATTTAGTCATCTTCTATAATTCAGTCACCTTTCAAAAGCCCTGCCCGTGAGTTCCTGAGACCTTTGGGTGACATTCTTCATCTAAACAATAACAGTCCAAATTTCTCTTATTCATTTGACTCACTTTTTAATTTTTTTCATGGGTCTTATGAGTAGAAGTTTTAAATGTGGTTGAATTTATCCTCTAGTCTTTTCTTCATGAGTCATTCTTTTGATCTTGTTGAAGCTTTTCCAGTAGAGTAATTGAAAGTATTTCCCATTGTTGTCCTTATAAAAGTTTATTTTGTTTGTTTTTTACCTTTTTCATTTTGGGTTTTGTGTTTTTTTTTGGCAGTACTGGGAATCGAACTCAGGACCTTGTGCTTGTGAGGTGGGCGTTGCCCTTCATTGTGTATTTTAATCTACCTGGAACTCTTTCAGTGCAGTGAAAAGTGGTGATCCAAATGTATTTTTTTAATAAAGTATGAAATATGGTCCCATCACTTTTTATGTGATAGATTTCCTCCCATTGAATGCCATCATGTGTCTGTCCATTCAGCCACCCATTCATCCTTTTGTTCTTGATACTTCTGTCTATATTAATAGCATTATTTTAATTTCTATAGCTTTGTAACAATTTCCATAAAAACTTACTGATATATGTCACACGCATAGAAAGTACACTATGGTATGACAACTGTTTACATAGCATTTACATTGTATTAGGTATTATAAGTATGCTAGAGATAATTTAAATTACACAGGAGAATGTTTGTAGGTTATATACTAATACTGTGCCATTCTATACTATATAAGGGACTTGAGCATCTTTGGATTTTGGTACCTGTGGGGATCCTGGAACCAACCTCCCCCTTGGATACCAAGGGATGACTGTAGTCTGTTGTTTCTGCACCACCCCCCCATTTTGTTTGCAAGATTCATCTTTATTGTGTATATATAGATGCTCTTCAATATACTGCGGGCCTCAATAAAAACTTATCATAACTGAAAACATTGTAAGTCACAGTGCACTTAAAGCTGGGCATAGTAGTACACACCTGTAATCCCAGCTACTCGAGAGACTGAGCAGGAATATTGCAGATTCAAGGCCAGCCTGGACAATTTAGTGAGACCCCGTCTCAAAGAAAAGAGTTGGATATGTATCTCAGTGGTAGAGCACACCTGGGTGTGATCACCAGTACCACAAAAAATAAAATAAGAATTTATTTATTTTTTTGGAAGCAGAACCTATTGGTACATTTTAAATATACACAACAGTGACACTCCTACAGTAGCTCACTGCTGTCTGGGTTCAACCCACAGTACCATAGATACATGCCTCATTCAATATACCTAACATACTATCATACCTTAGCAACAGTAGAATGTCAATTCACCCTGATGATCAAGTGGCTGACTGGGAGCTGTGGTTATTTTCAGCATCACTAATCTTACTTCATTTTGCTAGCCTCAGAAAAGATCAAAATTTGAAGTACAGTTTCTACTAAATACTTACATTTTAAAACCATTGGAAGGTTAAAAAATTATAAATTGAACCCAACCCACTTGGGGTCTGTTTGTGACTGTAGTTTATTTATTCTTTTTCTTTTTTCTTTCTTTTTTTTTTTTTGGTACCGGGAATCGAACTCGGGTCCTTGTGCTTGCACAGCAGGCGGCAAAACCACTGAGCTAAATCCCTGGCCCTATTCATTCTTTTTCACTAGTGTAGCATTCCAGTTGCTCTACAGCCTTGTCTACCTGTTTAATTTTAGATGTTCTTGTGTGTGTGTGTGTGTAGCAGTTTTAATTTGGATTCCTCTAATGAATAGTGATTTTAAACCCTTTTATTGCCCATTTTGCATATCTTTGGTGAAGTGGCATGTGAAGGTTTTGACTGTTATATTGGGCCATCTGACTTTTTTCATACTGATTTGTAGAAGTTTATCTGATACCAAATCATGCTGTTTATATTTTGCAAATATCTTGTTTCCTCTTCCCCATGAGACCATTAAAATGTTTGGTTGACTTCTCAGTATTACGCATTAACAAATATCTTTAGAGGAAAAGAGATCAAGAGACTCAACTTTCTAGGATGCTATTCTTTCCAGTCTTCCTCCTAGAGTGCTGTTCTTTCCAGAGTCGTCTTGCCTCAGGTTCTTGATGCCTTTGTAGTGCTTCATGCCTTCAAACATTTTTAAAAAATACTGTGTTCAGTTAAGTTCTCACAAGGAGGTTTGAAACAGCAGTAAATTGTTAAGGGACAGAAGTATGAAAGTCCTCTGGCCTTGTAGTTGTTCTTCAAGGAACATTTTGGCTGTTTGCTCCTCCATATAATTTCAGAATCATCTTTTCAAATGTTTCTCTCTCTCTCTCTCTCATGCACATGATGAGATGAGGTTTTGATAGGAAATGCACATGATCTGTAAATTAGTTTGGAGAGAATTATATTTTATTTTCTTAACCATGAACATTACAATCTGCTTATTAGGTCTTTTAAGACATTTTTCAACAAAATTTCCTAATTTTCAATTCAACTGTTGCAAATATTTTTTAAGGCACCTTTATAGTAAGTCTTAAATGTTTTAATAATTATATTTTCTACCTTACTATATACTTACTATACATTGATTTTGTGTAACAGCCTTGTTATACTTCTAATTATGATAAATTATCTATGGATTTTTTTGGATTTCTCAGTGGAGACGGTCCTCTCTGTAAATAATGACCTCTTTGTTTTCTCTTTTCTGATTCTTATGCTTTTTTTTCTTTCTTTTTTTTTTTTTCTTGTCTTAATGTTCTGGCTAGGATCTCCAATACAGTGTTGACTAGAAGCTGTGATGGGGGCATCCTGATCTTGTTCCTGATTTTAAAAGGAATGCTTTCAAAATTTCAGTTAAGTATGATGCTTACTGTAGTTTTATTGTAGAGAATCTTCAGATTAAGGATGTTCCTTAGTTCGTTTCTTAAAAAATCATGAATGGATGTTGAATTTCATCAAAAGATTTTCTTTCATCTTGTGAGATCATGTATTTTTCTTGTGTAATTTGTTAACATTGTGAATTACATTGGTTGATTTTTCTCTTACCAACCTTGATTCCAAGTGTAACTTCAAACCCAATTTATTTATCCCTGTTTGCACATTAGGCTCAATTTGAAGAGATTTAATTTAGAATTTTTGTCTCTAATAATGAATAATACTGGCTTCTAATTAAAAAACACTTTCTACTGGAAAAGTTTGTGTGACATTAGAAACACACAAACACACACACACACACACACACACACACAGTGGTTTGTTTGAACCCTGCCTGCATGCATGCTAGGTGGCAGGTGCTCTCATTCTGAGCTATATCCTCAGCCCGCAATGATCTTTTCATTAAGTGTTTTGATAGAATTTTCCTCTAAAATTGTTACTGATACTTTCTTTGAAGGTTACCTCTTAATCATTAATCCAGTTGTTTGGATTAAAGGACTGTTTATACTTTTAGTTTTTAAACCATATTCTTGAATTTACAGCATTAAGTTGATCTCTTATTTCGTAGTACTTATAAATAATATCCCTTTTATCTAATTTTGAAGGATCTTCCTTCTTTTGTCCTTGAGTATTTTAAGCTAAAAGTTTGCCAGTTTTTAAAGACTTCAGATAATTAAGTTTTAAAATTTTGTTTATGCTCTTTAATGTATCATTTTCCCATTTCATTAATTTCTTTTTATGTCTTACACTTTTGTTTTTTTCTGTTCATTTTTTTTCTTAAGTTGGATGCCTATCATTAATTTTCAGTATTTTAGTGTAGGCAGTTAAGAACATTAATATCTTTGTATAGCTTTCTCTGTATCGCACAAATTTTGATATGTAGTATTTTCATTATTTTCACTTGTTTTATATTTCCCACTGAATTCTTTAAGAGTTATTTAAAAATTTTTTTCAAATGTATGGGAGTTTCTCAAGTTAATTTGATTATTGATTTGTAATTTCATTGTGGTTAGGCAACATAGTCTGTGTGAAACTAATTCTTCAGAATTTGTTGAAACTATAGTCAGTTTTTATAATTTTTGTTTTATGTGAAGAGAATGTATGCTTTCCAATTGTTGGTGCAAAAATTATTATATATGTCCAGGAATTAGGCTTGTTATGTTGTTCAAATCATCTATCTGCATTTTCTTTAAAAGAGCAGAAATATGTTCATCTTTTACTACATTAGTTTTTTCTTGTAGTTCTACCAGTGTTTTAAACTGTATTTTAAAATCAGTACATGAAAGTTTAAATCTATTCTATTTTCCCACTAAATTGAAACTTTGTAGAGAGTTTGTATCTAAGAATGCTTTTTGTATTAAACACTACTGTTTGCTATTAATGTGTCTCGATTATTTTTCTTTTGGTTAGTTTTGCCAATTTTTTAATTACCTCCCCCCCACATGCACATGTGTGTGTTCTTTTAGTTGTGAATAACATGCTATAGAAATTTTAAATCTGGCCTCATGGCTTTCATTTTGTAATCTTATTTTAATTAATTAATTGATTAATTTTTTCAGTTCTGAGGATTGAACCCAGGGCCTTCTCACTGAGCTACAGCCCCCGTCCTTTTATTTTTATATTTTTATTTTGAGATAGGGTCTCACTTCACTGAGTTGCCCAGGCTGGGCTTGAATTTGTAATCCATCTGTCTCAGTCTATTATTTTGTGGTCATACACAGCACTCTCCTACCTATTATCCCCCAGCTCCTAACCTCCTCTCCATTTCTGTGATTTTTGTCTTTTCAAGAATGTTATATTGGGCCGGGGATTTAGCTCAGTGGTGCCGCACCTCCCTCGCAAGCAAGCACAAGGTCCTGAGTTCGATCCCCAGTATAAAAAACCAAAACAAAAAAATAAGAATTTTTTTTTTTTTTTTGGTACCGGGGATTGAACTCAGGTCCTTGTGGTTGTGCAGCAGGCGGCGAAACCACTGAGCTAAATCCCCGGCAAGAATGTTATATAAATTGAGCCATACAGTATGTAGTGTTCGGGTTTTGCCATTTTCATTCAGTACAATTCCCTGGAAATTAATCTAGACTGTTACATGTTTATTACTGAGTAGTGTGTTGTGTATGAACTTAACTACAGTTTAACCATTCACTTGTTAAAGAACAGTTGAGGTTTATAATTTTTGGCTGTTATGAATAAAAGTTTTATTAAGATTTGTGTATGTTTTCTGTGAACCTGAGTGTTCATTTCTCTGGGATAAATGGCCAGGAATTAAGTTACTGGGTCTTATGATTGTTGTATGTGTAGTTTTTAAAGAACTTGCTAAACTCTTCCAGAGTTGCTGTTCCGTTTTACATCCCTACCAGTAAAGTATGGAGTGATCTAGTTTCTCTGCATCTTTGCCGCCATTTGATGTTATCACTGTTTTTCATATTAGCCATTCTGGGTAGGTATCCAGTGATGTAACAGTGAGGGGTTTTTTTGTTTTGTTTTGTTTTGATTTTTGGTACCAGGGATCGAACTTGGTACTTTGCGCTTGCATGTCAGGCACCGGAACCACTGAGCTAAATCCCTGGCCCAGTGAGGTTTTAATTGATGTTTCCTTACTGGCTAATGATGTTAAATATATTTTCATGTGGTTATTTGTTATCTATATTTATATCCCTATTGATGAAATATCTCTGCCTGTCTTTTGTCCTTTTTGTAATGAGATTGTTCTCTTTTTTTTCCTTGTTCAATTTTGATAATTGTAGTCTTTTGTCTGGTATATATCTTGCAAATATTTCCTCTGAGCCTTTTCATTCTTTTAAAGGAGTCTTTAGCTGACCCCAAGTTTTATTTTGATGAATTCCAATATGTTACTTTCTTTTTTCTCTTATGAATCTTTTTTTTTTTTTTTTTTGGTACCAGGGATTGAACTCTGGTCCTTGTGCTTGCGAGGCAGGCAGCGGAACCGCTGAGCTAAATCCCCGGCCCTCTCTTATGAATCTTTTAGTGTAATATTTAAGAACTGTCTGCCTAGGTTTAAATCTTGAAGAGTTTCCTATTTATTTATTTTCTGTACTGGAGATCAAACTCAGGACCTTGTCCTTGCGAGGCAGGGCAATCCCTGGCCCTATTTATTTATTTTTGTTTTACAGTTTTTCATTTGCCTGTAATCCATTCGGTAGAAGGTATGAGACTTAGAGGAGTGTGTGTGTGTGTGTGTGTGTGTGTGCGTGTGTGTGTATTTTTTTAAATTTATGGATATCCGGTTACTTCACCACTTGTTGAAAGGCTATCTTTAACCTTTTATACTTAAAAATTATTTGGGCACATTTGTATAGGTCTGTTTATGTTCCATGGAGCTGTATATCTCTTGCCACTAATACAACACAATCTTGATTACTGTAGCTAACTTGCAAAATGGGATACACTGATTCTTCTATGTGTTTTTTGTTTTGTTTTTGTTTTTTTGTGTGCTGGGGATTTGAATTTATGTTTGCTTAAAGGCCATTGATACTAAATATTACATACCCAATGCCTTAGGGGTGCTGCACAATTTTTTTCTGGCTGTTTTTTTTGGGTTTTTTTCTGCCTTCTGTTTTTTTAAAAAATTGTATCTTTTCTAGCCTTTTGATTTTCTTTGTAAATTAAAAAACAAAAAACTTTATCTGTATCTGAAAGATATCTTCCTGAGTTTTGCATAAATATTGTATTAAACTTATACAGTATATCAGTTCAGGGAAAATTAACATCTGTACTTTGTTACATCTTCCAAACCATGAACAATTCATTTGTTTAGATTCTAATTTCTTTCATTAGTGTTTTGCAGTATTGAGCATACAAATCTTGTACTTGTGTTTTAGATTTTTTTAAACTAGGTACGGTATTTTAATTTTATTTGGATTGATATTAAGTGAGCTGTTTTTGATTTGTTTCCACACATGTTCACTCTTTATTTTATAAAGATGATGTGACTTGGTGTGTGTTGATTTTGTAACCTTGCTGAATTCACTTAGTAGTTGTAGAAGTCATTTTGCAGATTCATTGGAATTTTCTGTATAGATACTCATCTGTAGATACAAATTTTTTTCCATTTATCACCTGTCAGGCCTTTTATTTCCTTTTCTTGTCTTTTTCTGCTAGCTAGAATTATGTTGAATGAGTGTAAGCATTTAGGGGGAAAGCATTCATTTCACCATTAAGTATAATGTGAGCTTTAGCTTTTCTTGTAGATGATATATAACAAATTGAAGTTCTATTCCTCTTTTTTCTGAGGGTTTTTAATAATCATGATTAGGTATAGAATTTGTCAAAATACTCTTTATACATTGATTGAAGTTTTTGAATTATGACTTAAATAGTTAAGTTTCCTTATTTAGAAGTTAGTGTTTTTTCTTTTTTTTCTTTTTTGTGGTGCTGAGGATGGAACCTAGGGCCTTTGCATGTGCTAGAAAAAATACGCTGCCACTGAACTATTTCCCCAGCCCTTTATATTTTATTTTTGAGAAAGGTCCCTCTGAGTGTCCCAGGCTGGTCTCAAATTTGTGAGATCCCTGTCTTTGCTTCCTGAATGATTAGGATTATAGCTATGTCCCTTCTTGCCTGGCTAGAAAGGTATTTGAATTGTTTTCTATGGATTGAGTTCTGGTATGCAGTTTGTTTTTCAGGGAATTGGTCCATTTCATCTAAGATTCCAAGTTTATGAATGTAGAACAGTTCTTTATGTTCTTGTATTATCTTTTTGATGTATGCAGTTTCTGTTGTGATATCCACTAATCTTGTTCTTTAATGGGAAGTTTCATTTTTTTATTTGTTTGGGTTATTAATACATTTTACAGTAATTTTACACCATTTTTATTTTGCTATTCTACTTTTTTTCTGTTCTATGTCTGTTCTATGTCTATGTTTTGTTGCTTATTTTAGGATTTTTTTTTCCCCTTCC